TGAGATATCCATTCTTGATTCATATTTTCAGAGTTTGATTCTGCCTGATTCATATTGATTTCTGGCTGGCTTATTCTGCCTCTAGTCTGTTCCCTACCTCTGCCTCTACTTCTGCCCTCTGAGGTGCCAATAGGAGCAACATGGGATTCTTCTTCATTGGGGCGGTGATCCTTTCCGACCTTCTTGATCTACTAGCCATCTGTAGATAACAAAGTTAATACACATATTTTCACATTCCCAAATATAAAAAATTGTCCAAGTTCAATTATGTACCTATAGATTCAAAATTACATTGGCCAGATGTAATCCGAAAATACCTCACACTGATATCTTAACTTATCATATTTATTCCAACTGTGCTAACTATGTTTGGGACCCTAATATGCAATGAAATAGTTTAAGTCTAGGTATTATGCATGTGAATACCTAAATCCCTTAAACTCAGGCTCCGATACCAACTCTGTAACACCCCAAATCCAYACATTGCATATAACACATATTCCATGCATCGAATACATGTTTTAATCGCCCAAAGGTCCATACTACAAGAGTCTAAAATACGAAATACACAACTCAAAAATTCCAAAAGTACATGCTCTTGTATTCTAGCATCTATGCTTCCAAAACAGCTAAGCACATAGGGAAGTAATTCACATATTGCACTTTCCCTTAATATCTTTACCTGCACACATATTTTTGAAAACACAAAATGAGGGTTAGACATGAATGTCTAGTGAAGTTCCCTTTCATGTAATGCAAGGTGAAGATCACCAAAACATTTATTTCAAATAATTCATCTCATGTAGCAAAACTAAAAATCATATTGTTTCGGTCCATCGGGCCTCTGGTTCCAAACCACACTTGGAATATATTTCAATAACCAGGACTAGAGCCCCTCTGGTCTCTCTACAAGAGCTTCTGGTTCCTCGACCAGAGCCTCTGGTTGTACTAACCAGTGCTTCTGGCTCATATAATTTCTTATAATGTTCTTTAGTTAAGCATTCAATCAATAAGATAACCTTTTTCATAAAAAGAGTAATTATGAAGAGTTCATGCTCGACCAGAGCCTCTGGTTGTATTAACCAGAGCTTCTGGTTGAAAAGACATGATCAAATTAGAGCCTTGTGGTTCAACGTGTAAGTCAACCAGAGCTTCTCTGGTCTGTTTTTCATAAAAAGATTCTAAGTATTATATTATTTGTGACAATTGGTCACTTTGGGACTTCAGATTAGTACCTTATTTCAAGATCTTTATTTAGAACTAAGTCCTTCTAGGTTTTAGCTTCGATGAGTAGAGATCATCTTGCTTAATTCCCAAGATTAGTCCGTTAGATCATGTCTCGACGGGTAGCTAACAAAGCTAGTTTATGCAATGCCAATTAGTCTTGAAGTATTTCACGTAAAATAAAGTCGATATTTTTTTAAGTCCCGTCCTTATCTCAAATTTAAAAGTTCCAAAGTCCCATTTTATATTTGTTTGCCAATTAATTTAAAGAATGGTGTTTTAAATTTATTTTGTCAAAAATGTTTTGTTGTATTTATTGGGGGTCTTTTACTTTATAATTAAAAGTCTTTTGTGCTTGGGCCTTTAGAGGTCAGCCCATTCTTTTCCTCGAATCCACACATAAATACCCCCTTCCCTTTTGAAAGTCCTTCACTTTTCAAACTTCCAGCTAATTCATATCTTTCTTTCCAACCGATTCCATCTTCAAGCAAAACTTAAAGACTTTTGCTGATCTTAAAGACCTGCTCGTGTCTCTTATCAAGAACAGGTATGTTTTAAAGCTGTTCTATTATCCTTTAAAAGTCTGAAAATCTTTATCTTTCTCACTATTCGGTTTTTGGCTAATTGCGGGATTTAAAGAGGAGAGATTATTCATCGAAGACCCACCTGTGTTTTTCGTTGGGGATGATAATCTGTGACCCAAGTTCTTTAAATCTCCAAGAAGGAAGGAAAGATCTCTTGCATGTGAGGTCTGATCAYATTTTCGGATGATAGGTCTTGCATGCAACTCTTTTCAGATTCATTCCTTTAAAAACTTGTTGGAAT